TATGTGGTTTTTGGGGACCATCTTATTTCCCTTAGCATCACATCTCAGCTTGATCCGTGTTGTAGCACCCGGCAGGCTTTCCCTATTCTGAAGGTCAGGTGATACGTCCTCACCTGCTCATCCAGTCTTTCCTCAGTGGACCCCGAGTTGCTTCCACCTTTGGCTGTTGCGAGGAGCTATGAATTTGGGTGTGCAAATAGCATCTGAAGACCTTGCTTCCAATTCTTCTGGGTGCGTATACCTAGAAGTGGCATTGCTGGATCCCATGGTAATTCTGTACTTTATTTTTGCAGCAAACTTTTAAAATGTGATTGACCCCCCTCCAACACTTTTTTTGGGGGGAGAGTGGGTACTGGGGATTGAACTCAGGGGCACTCGACCACTGAGCCACATTCCCAGCCCTATTTTGTATTTTATTTAGAGACAGGGTCTCATTGAGTTGCTTAGCGCCTCGCTTTTGCTGAGACTAGTTTTGAACTTGCGATCCTCCTGCCTCAGCCTCCCGAGCCGCAGGGATGACAGGAGCATGCCAACAGGCACCCAGTCTGACCCCAACACCTCTGCAAGTAGTTAACCTCATCATTACTTGGGTCTGTGCAGGAATTCTTGCTTCCAGTTCACGTGTGAGTAAGCTAAGGCACAGAGAGGATAGGTGACTTCTCTGAAGGGAGGCAGCGAGTGGCAGAACTGAGACTGGCACTCGGGCTCCTGCCTCTTAGCTCGGTCCTCTCCACCTTTGTCAGCTCTGGTCTTCCTCTCATTCTCTTTCTCTGCCATCCTCTTGACAGCCCCAGGTTGTCTTGCCTCTTGGGACCTCAGTTTCTTCCTCTGTAGAATGGGCCTGTCCTGGGGCGCTCAGCCCCGGGCAGCTGTTGCATAGCGCTGTGCTCCCTGCGCACTTGCAGGGAGCGCTCTTTGGCTGAGCTAGCATCTGCTTCCCCATCTGGTCCCAACTTTTCCTTAATTACCCACTGAATTGGCTCTAACAAAACGCTGACAACTTGAATGAGACATTAGCAGATACATCAGTGCCCATGCCAGGGTCTCATGGGCTTTTCCAGGATGCGCCGAACCAGGGCCAAGCAAAAGCCCTTGTTCTGGGCTGGAGTCGTCGTCTTGGCTGAGTGGCAGGTGCCAGCCAAGGTACAGGGCTCCTGAAGCTCCTCTTAGGCTGGACGAAGGCTTGAGGCTGGGTCAAACCCTGGAAGCGAGAGTCCTCTCTGCAGCCTGCCGTGGGCCCGTCGCTCCCTCTTTCATTCCCGCTTACTGTCTCCGGGCTGCCTGGTTTTGTTTCTTCTCCACATTTCACACTGGTCCTGAAGCAGCTGGCCGTGTTCCACAGTGGGCGCAGTGTTGGGCATGGCCCGTCGTGCCTCCTGGGTGCCTTTTGGGGCTTGTTCTTTACATCTGCATAAAGGGGTCTTGCCAGACGCGAGAGGGTTCTCATTCTAAGTTCCTGCCGATATGAGGAGAAAGGCTAAGGCTTCCATTTTTGGGGGGGTGGGTGGCGGGATGGGGGTTCAGGGATTGAACTCAGGGGCACTCAACCACTGAGCCACATTCCCCAGCCCTATTTTGTATTTTATTTAGAGACAGGGTCTCACTGAGTTGCTTAGTCCTTCGCTGTTGCTGAGGCTGGCTTTGAACTTGAGATCCTCCTTCCTTAGCCTCCCAGGCCGCTGGGATTACAGGCGTGCGCCGTTGTGCTCAGCTCCACTTTTTCATTCTGAGTGGGGTAAGTAGAGTCAGGAGCCAACTCGGTGGAGGTGATGAGCACCGGCCCTGGAGCAGCCAGCCTGGATTGGAGTCTTGGCTCCACAACTTTCTCCCTGTGTGGCCCTGGAAAAGTTGCCGAACCTCTCTGTCTCCTCTTTTTTGATTGGAGATGGGACATGGTCAGAGGAACCCATAAGAGAATTAAATGAGGTAATACAGGTAAAGCACCAGGCACATAGTAGAACTTAACCGTGTGTCTTTTTAAGCTCAGGTGCGGCAGGTTAGTTACATCCAGCTTAGGGCCCGTGGCTGCCTTTGGCTCATGCACAGCCTTTCTTGCTTTGTTTAGTTTTTATCCCCATTTTCTCCACGAGCTGCGCTCCTTGTCTAGCTCCAAGCCATTCATTGTGATGTATGCAACGTGCATCTTTTTGTTTATATGTGTTCTTAGACGTGTGTACTGCTGTTTCATGAGATAAGTTAAATATTTGTATAAAGGATGTGCAGCTTTAGATCACATTCTCTTCTTTATTTTTGTCCCTCAGCTCCAAGTTTCTGAGCTCCACCCACGCGATTTGCAGGTACTGGGTGAAGCCACCAGTTCACCCCTCCACCTCTCACCACATTTCACTTCGTACCCCACCCCCAAGGTTCTCCAGGGGCCCAGTCCAAAATCCAGCATCTGAAGTGGGCCAGAATCTGAAAACTTCTGAGTGAGGACAGACTTGGATTTTGGAACATTTCAGATTTTGGAGTTCGGTATTAAGGAGGCTCAGCTAGTCAAGCCTGTGCCGATACTTCAAGATCTGGAAAAACTCCAAAGCCTCAGTCTTGTCTGATCCCAAGTGTTTTGGGTAAGGGATCCTCGGCCTGCACCCTACAGATGGAACCAGTCCCCTTCAGGTGGGTGTTTTGGCTGGGCCTAGCTGTCCCGAGGTCGGGACCAGAGAGCCAGTGCTTCTGTGGCGCTGGCCTCGGTGATGAGTGCCTAGAGGCTTTTGTACCTTTATTTAATTCCTCTCACCCCAGACGAAGCTGCAGGGAGCAGCTGGGTGCAGGTTCCTGCGTGGTTCCTGAGACCTTTTACCCCCTGTGTACCCAGGGTAGAATGTAGGATGGAAAGAAATAGAGAGTACTGGAAGGAAGCAGAAGAAATGGGTGCTCTCGGACTCTGAATGGAGCGAATCACTAACAGGACTTGGCCCGTTAATGAGTGGTCTGAGGGTCGGCCTTGAACTCCAGCTAAGGACCAGTTTTGCTTTTTACGTGTTTTGACTTGAAACCATATGAATACACACTGTTTAAAACCGTCCATGAAATGGGGTGTACCTGACCCAGAAGTACAGAATGAGATGGGAAAGGTGCATTCCCGTTGCTGCCCGTCCCCCAGAGCCCGGTTCTGGGAGGTAAGCCCTGCGACTGTGCATACACCAGGCTTCCAGTCGACAAGCACAAATGCGAGCCATTTGTATTGGATTACAGCTTAGCTTTTCTCACCTAATAGGATGTCACAAGGTCATTCCACGTGAGCCCCAATAAATCTGCTTCCGTGTTTTTTTTTTTTTTTTTGGTCTCAGTGCTCAATATTCCATGGTAAGGATCAACCATGGTTTATGGCTCCAGTCCCCTCTTGGTGGGTGTTCTGCTGTTGGAACCAGGGAGCCAGTGCTTCCCGTGGCGCTGGGATGAATCCCTGTGGCTTTTGTACTTCTTCCTTTGGCCTTTGTGATTCAGAGATGTTCTTGCTGGCTCTAGAATTCTGGGTTGATAGTTGCCCCTTCCCCATCTCAGCACTTGGAAGGCGGCTTCACTGCCTCCTCGTTTCTGATGAGCAGTTGGGTATAACTCTCGCCTTTGTTCCTCTCACGTAATGTTCTTTTAGTATTTTCTGTCTCACATTCAGCACTGGACTAGGATGTGCTCTGGGTAGTTTCAAAAAAGTTTCTTCTACTTCGAGTTCATTGCACTTTTGGGTTCTCTGGGTTTATAGTTTGTACCAAATTGGGAAACTCGGGACGTTATTTTTTCAGATCTTCTTCTCTGCGCCCTCATGGGTGTGAGTGTTGGGCCCTTTGCTTTGTCCGGAGCTCACAGGTGCCCTGTGATGTTCCCCACCTTCCCCTTCTGTTTTATTGTTGGTCCATTCCGCGCCTGTACGTCCTGGGTCTTCGGCTCTTTCCTGCCTGGTTTGTTCTTAATGCTGCCCGGTGGCTGGCTTTACCCCAGGCCCCTGTGTTTTCGCCTCTGCAAGTTTGGTGCGGGGCTTTTTCATACGCTTGCGTCTCCGTGACACGCCTGGTTCTGTCCGCCTTCTGGAGTGTGCGGGGTGTGTTTATGATAGCTATTTCACTGTACTCGAATCAGTTATTTATGTCATTTTTGAGTCTCTTTCTGTTAATTGATTTTTCCACTTCTTTCAGGCGTAATAATTTTTGATTGACAGACATTGTAAATTTTACTTTGTTTGGTGCTGGTTGTTTTGGTATTTCTTTAAATATTTTTGTGCAGTGTTTTGTTATTAGTGGAGTATTAATCGCCTGTGGCTGCTTTAACAGATCATCACGAGCTTAGTTGCGTAAAACAATGCAAACTCAGGATCTTATACAGTTGCGGGCCGCATAAGGATGGAGATAACTTCTGAGAAATTTGTCCTAAGCGATTATTTTCATTGTGTGACATCATAGGGTGTACTCTCACCACATGAAATGGGGTAGCCTAGCACACACCTGGCTGTGTGCAGGATAGCCTGTTGGTCTTGGGCTGCTAATTGGATGCTGTAGGTGGTTATGACACCGTGGTAAGTATTTGATCTAAACGTAGAACAGGTGCATACAGGTGCAGACACGGAAAGGTACAGTGAAAGCTAAAAGTGGTGCCCACGTAGGAGGCCCCTCCACGAGTGGAGCTTGCAGGCTGGGAAGTTGCTCCGGGTGAGTCGGTGGCTGCATGGCGAGGCCGGGACGTGACATGTGTCACTGTACACTCTATAAACACCACACTCAGGCTACCCTGCATTTGCTTCTCATAAATCTTTCTCCAATAACAAATTAACCTTAGCTTAGTGTCACTTTCTTACTTTATAAACTTTTCATTTTTTAGAACTGCTTTTGACCTTGCCATAACACTTGGCTTAACACGTAAAGGCGTTAACATAGCCGTCCAAAGGTAGTCTTTCTTTATGTGCTCCCTCTGTAAGCTGTTTTCTGTTTTTTACATTTAAAATTTTTATTTTATTGTGTGAGCTTTTTTTGTTAAAGGTGAATACACAAACACACTCAGGCTGCGGACCTACACAGAGCCAGATCCTCAGTGTCACTCGTCTCCCTCCTGCACATTTTGTCCCCCTGGAAGATCTTCAGAGTTAGTCACAACACATGGAGCTGTGGTTTCCTGTGACAGTGCCTGTATCCTTTTGGAACCTCCTGAACGGCTTGCCTGAGGCTGTTTTACAGTTACCTGTTTGTTTGTTTGTTTGTTTTTAAGTTGACCGTGTGCACTCTAGAACAGTGATAAACTGTGATATGGTAGATGCATACACCGGTAACCGTCGCTACCGTCATTACCCATKACCGAGTGCCAKGTGCTGTACCTACGYGGTTTCRTGCGCTAGGCGTTTGTACAACTGGTGGCTCAGTAGGCCTGTCCACCCAGCGTCCCCCGGGAGTGAGTGGTATGTGACTTTAGATAGTTACGGTGGCTACGGTCACTAGGCAGGAGGAATTTTCCAGCTCCTTCATGACTTATGGGGCCACTGTCATACACACAGTAGGACAGAAACATCTGCCATTGACCAAAATGTCCTGGCGTGGTGCTTGATGGTGGTTCTGGAGGTCGGAAATCTGAAACAGGCCTCACCGGTCTAAAGTCCAGCTGCATCCGGGCTTCCAGCAGCCCAAGGGGAGAATGTGTCCCTTTCCAGCTTCTAGGAGCGACCCCCTTCCTGGGCCAGTCTCTCCGTTGCTTCCTTCAGAGTCGGGGACACTGTCCTTCCCAAGCAGTCGTCTCTTTGGTTCTCTGTTGTGCCTTCCTCTCCCATTTAGAGGGACCCTGCGTTGGGCCTGGCTGAGCAAACCAGGAGTTGTCCCCTTCCCGAGGCTGCCCGAGGAGGGGCTCGGGCTCCGTGTGCTCATCCTGACTCGTGGTTGTGGACATCAGGATCTGGGTGTCGTGGGGCACTGCTGTGATCACCGCAGTGGTCCAATGACTGGGAGACGGCGCCGTCTATCCAGGGCGTGCTCTGGGGCTCCCACCAAGCAGCCTTTAGGATTGAACAGGGGGGTGGGCACCACAGCTGGGGGCACGTCTGGCTCACTGTCCACTTTTGTGCTGTCCCTGGTGGCTTTCATTCCGCAGTGACTCGCAGAGCGTTTGCACTGTGACCCTTCTCAGGAGAAGTGTCCAGCCCCTGGTCTAGGGGTACCTGCCCCCCATTCAGAGTGCTCAGCCCAGGTGTGGTGGAGAACTCTGGCCGTGTTTGTGCCCCCAGTTGCAGTGCGGGCTCCCTGCTGGTCCCTGCTGCAGTCCCCACGCTGCTCTTGCACAGGGGCTGCGTGCGCTCAGCGAAGCGGCTGCACCTTCGCTCCAGACTCTGACCGCGTCCTGCCTTCCTCAGATCTTAACTCTGTCTCCCTAGGGCAGGGGGACCCCTGGGCTGGCCTGGCACCCCTCCCTGCCCTGCAGCCTCCAACTTCTCTAGGCGGCAGGCAGGGACAGTTGGAGGGCCCAATTGGAGGGCTTTGCTTCTTATAGGAGTTAGTGTCACCTGTTTCCTGGTGGCCAGCAGTCACCGTTTCCTGTGCTTCGTCCCTCGTTTCCGAGTTGTGGAAGGTGGTGGTGAATCTGGACCCTTGCACTTCAGTGTGATTTAAGGCCACAGGTGCTTCTTAGGTCAGTGTCATCTTGCACTTAGGAGGGCACTTCTGGAAGTCACACACTGGAAGAGGCAGCGTGTTGTCATCCACGGTGTGTTTTAACGATATCACCAAAGTGGCCCTTGGGAAAGCTGGGCCTTTGAGCTGTATACCTTTGAGAATCCCATTCTAACAGCAGGGGCTGTGGGGACACGTGATGAACAGGACGCTGCTTGGCGCTCTGTGGGAACATGCCAGGGTTTATGGGCTCTAAGAAGGGCTTCTGCTGGGGCGGGGGGGGTGCCCACCTGTCACCCCAGCTCCCCCCGGAGGCTGAGGCAGGGGATCCTGTGTTCAAGCCCAGCCTGGGAAACTTAGTGAGGCCCCCAGCAGCTTAGCAAGACCCTGTCTCAAAATAACACTAACAAAAGGGAAAGGCTTCCGGCCGCTTCCCCTTGGCCTGGGCCTCCCGTGGTGGCCGTTTGGTCTTCCCGTCTACTCGCAGGCTCCATAGTCCTGTTGTCACAGGAGACATTGTAGGACTGTTGTTTCCTTAGCAATTGAGGGTGGCGAGGTGGGGGTGGGTGCCTTCCTTCAGACCACTCTTCTCTGTCCTGGTGTCTTCTGAGCATCTACAAATGCCAGAGAGTGTCCCAAGGGCTTCAGGCGTCCATCGTGAAATCATGTAATTTCCCACCACAACCGAGGCAGCTCAGGATGGAACAGAATCACACTGCTGATTCCCAGCAATGGAAGTTTCTCTTTTTTCTGCCTTTAAACCTAATCTGCCAGTTCATACAACAGACTCTCCATTTTAATCAGGACCCCTTAGTTTGCAAGTGATGGAAACTCACGTCAAGCTTGCTGAAGCCAACGGGGACGTACCCTGTGTACCTCCTCCAAGTCCAGGCCTGGGTTAGACGTGCAGATCAGGTCCGAGAAGCCCCCCTCCTCTCCGCTGTTTGTTTCCTGCCATGGCCAGACCAGCCCTGCCCCGGCCGTGGTGGGTGGACGAGGCTGCAGCAGTGCCAGGCACGTGGCTCCCCCGAGAGGGACGTCCTGCTGGAGAGAGGGCTTCCAACAAGAGTCCCAGGGGAGGCTGTCGCTGGCCCAGCACGGGTCACAGGCTCATTCACTGCTGGTCATGGCACCAGGAGGGTGTGTGGTTCCGACTGAGTGGGTCTGGGTGGTTGGATTCCCCCTTGGCGTTGGGGGTTTTGAAAGCTCTTCAGAGGGTGGGCTCCTGGCAGGGTGAGTAGCTCTGTGCTGGTCGAGGGGTGCCGTGTAGGCAGAGACAAAGCCCTGTGCTCTGCACCCCCTTGTCCTCTGCCAACGTGGGCCTCGGACTCCAGTGGCTCAGTGTGGTTGTCTTGCTGGGCAGCCTTGGCTTGACAGTGTCACTCCGCCCACCTGGGTCCTGGCCATCCACTGTTCTCTCTCTCGTCATCTTGGGCAGGAACTTTGTCCCCAGGATGGGGCTTCTTGGCAGCTCCTCTCTCTGGAGCAGACTCTGGCTCAGAGCTGCACGGTGTGAGCTCCGAGCGGATTGTGGGGGAATGTCAGGCTGCGACTTTCAGTGTGGAGCCAAGTCCCAAGCGCCAGGTAGGCTGAGCTGCTCCAGGCGGTTCAAGTTGGGAGAGCAGAGGGATTAGGGAGGGGTGGTGGCGGAGGTGTTGTGTGTTGACAGAGGAGCCGGTGACACTGTTCTGTGCCCCTTGTGAGGCTCTTGAACGGAGGCTGGGCCCTTACTCAGTGATTGGCAGCAGGTCGGGGCACCCCCACGCCCCCTCCTACGTCGTTAATAGAGCAGCACTTTTCAGAGGGTGGTCCAGGGCCCTCTGTGTTAGGGCCGCTAGGCAGCCTCTCCAGGGCTGGTCCCCTCCCAGGCGTGGCATTTGTGAACCCCTGGGAGGTGCGTGTGAGATCCTCGCACTGAACGAGCTCTGCAGGCAGTGCTGTCACACGTGAAGGGGAGAGCTGCTGGGAGATGACTGTCCCCGGGTAGCGGGGGTGTCTGGGAAAGGACTCTCCCTCCTTTGATGGGACCACGTGAGGGATTCTCTAGTTTCAAGCAGTTCTTTCGTTCCTGTTGCTGCCTTTCGGGATAATGGCAGAGTCACTGTTGGGGGACAGGCCTGAAGTGGGGGGTCCCTTTCTGGAAAGGTGGGCATCGTTATTTTCATTTAGCACTTTCCACGTCTCAAGATGTAATAACATGACAAGAAAGGGTGACACACCGGGAGCGACCCTGCTTGCTAAGAAGCCCCAACCCCCGAAGCAGTGACACGTGGCACCAGCCATGTTAACTGGGAGGCTTCGGCAACCACAGGAGCCCTTTGGTCTGGGGAAGCTCGGGGACTGGTGTGACAGCACAGCTCACTTGCTCGTAAGTTAAGACCTTAACACTTTGTAGAGAAAATCATCATTTTTACCCACTACAAGATTTCAACACCCTTTTAAGCCGTTTGTGAGTGAAGTCTTACCCCGGAGCTGATGCTATTGAAGAGAGACAAGGGATTTTTTTTCTTCAAATTAAGGACATAGGGGCCCGGGCGTCACACCGCCAGGCAGGAGCTCTGTGTTGGCCTGCCCTGCCCGTAGGCCTGTGTTCTGTGACAGTATCAGAAAGTGGACTAAGATCCCCTTCCACTCCCCTACCCCACCAGAAAAATAAAAGCTGAGGTCTCGTCCGTGTGTCTCCTGAGCATCCTCCCTGCTGACTGCTCATCTTTCAGCCTCTGCCTGGACCTTTCTGGGGAAGGACACTCAGTGCTCCTTTCTGCGCTCCTTTCTGGTCCAGGTCTGTAGGACTTCACTGCACTGTCACTTCCCGGGTTCAGCACCACTCGTCCACCTGGGCCAGCGCACATGGTAGGGCCAGTCACCGCTGGGCTGCAGTGGGAGTGAGGAGCCTGGGGTTTGAGAGGCCTTTGCTGTGTGGCCCAAGCATGGGAACTCTCCCTCTCTGAGCTTTGGCTGCCTCACTTGGGAAAGGAGTCGTTGGAGGTGATGGTCTTTTCACCAGTTACCATTGTGTGATGCTAAAGGGAGACCAGGGTATGGCCAGGCACCTGGCACCCACAGTCCAGGTTGTTCTGGGACAGACAGCTTGCTGGCTTCTGCTTGGAGGTCAGGGGCTGGACACTCTGTGCACCCTTGTCCCTCTGGGTCTGTGTGCAGCACTGGGGCTTTGGTGACAGGTGTGGACAGGTGTAGTGATGAGGAGGAGAAGCAGCCCTATGACCATGGCCCTTCCTCCCACAGTCCTTCACACCCTTCCTTTGCCAACATGGGCCCTGCCACATGGCTCCCTCAGGAAGGATGGAGAGATGAACAGGCCGTCCTACCCTCGGCAAAGTGGTGACGCAGGACACCCCATCGACATCCATAAGCCCGTCCGTGGGGTGGGCTTCAGGAAGCGGCCCCTCGGGCACTCGGATCTGTGATCTGCCTCGCAGGAGGTGGGGACTCCAGGTGTGCACACTGAGGCTCCACAGAGTTGCCAAAGAAATAAGGAACGTCCCGTGTTGTCCCAGAAGAGGAGTGGGGATTCACCAAGCCCTGTGCTTTGGTGACCCGTGTCCCCGTTACCACATTCGGAAATCCGCCGTGAGCGCGGATGAGAACTGCCTGCTGACGGCCAAGTGAAATCATAAAATGAAAAACAAAGAAGGGGGGGATCCTGTGACCTTGGATCATCGTGCCCCTCCTATCCCCCAGGAGCCTGCCATCGCGATGGGCTTCTCCCGAGATCGTCCAGGAGGCTTGCCCAGTGCTCACAGGGTGTTGTGTGCTCACTCCATCGTGTGGGGGAGGCCCCCTGGGGGGGGGCTTGCTGGCCAAGGTGGAAAGCGATGCTGCCTGAGGCTCAGGGCTGGGCAGCGGCTTGGCAGCAGGAAGTGCTCCTTCCATCCAGCCTCTCCAGCCCCTGGTGCCGGGATGAAGGATGCCCCCATCCCACACCCTGCCCATGATACCCACCGCAGCCCAGCCTGGGTTGTGCCCTCTACCCGCATGCCGTCCCTGTCCCTGCCATACTAAGGGGCGCTCCTGGAGGCTCTGCGATCCCCGCGTCCACGCTTGTTCATGCTGTCCCTCCTGCCTGCTGAGCCTCCCGGCCAGCCAGGTCCTAATCCTAGGCTGGTGTTTGTTCACCTGGTTCCTGTTCTGCACTTGGTAATTACTGATCCTGCCGAGGCCACTTGCCATGAGCCAGCTGGGCTGGACCTGCTGCCCAAGCCCAGCTTCAGGAGCTTAGAAGTTCCTGGAAGCTGACTTATTACTGGCCTGCTAATGAGCAGTCTCTGCCCACCAGGTGTGTTCAGGGGGCTGCGCTGCTCCAAGGGTGTCCTCTTTCTTGGGTCAGGCTCCTCAGGGTTGTTTTTTCTCTCAATTTGTCCTGTTATGTGCTGGGGAGAAGTCACTGTCATGAAGTGGTCATCTGAGAGCACCTCCCTTCCTCCCTCCATGCCGCAGTGCAGCGACAGGGACACCCTGGCCCCAGAGCCCAGAAGCCCATCTCCTGTTAGGGGAGCTTTCTGGGTTGCTGGGGGTCAGACCCAGGGCCCCTCAGTGCTAGGCAGGCGCTCGGCTGGCCCACTCCCAGCGCAGACTGTCTGCTCTCCAAGCAGTGCTTCTCGCAGGACCTTTCTGTTTTATTTAAAACAACAAAACATGTTTGTTTTCCTTTAATAGAGTAGCAAGTGCTCTTTATGGAAAAAGTTGGAAAACACCAAACAGTATGAGGAAGACAGCAAGCCAGTTGCGGGTCCGTCCCATGCGCTGACACTGGACATTTCAACCCTTTGCCTTCTAGATGTTGGTTTTGACCAGCGGGCGTAGAGGCACCATCCAGTTCTCTCCTTGTCCGGAGACCCCTCGGTATCACAGGATTTGTGCTCCTCCTGCTGTTTCTGACTGTAGGTCCCCTGTGCGATGGCTGTATCCTCATTTGCCCAGCTGGTCCCTATCTGGGGAATTTTTTGCTGGTCCCCGTTTTTCTCCATCATAAATAATACTGTGAAGGACATGGTGTAAGTGAATCGGTTTTCATGTTTTGGATTGTTTCTCAGTCTTTTTAATCTAGAAGGAACTTCACCCATGACCCAGACCACTTCTTCTCTGACTTTAGCTGGTTCTGGAGTCCCCTGGGTGGACACTGCTGGGCCCGCTCTGGAGATGGTGTGTGAGCAGGTGTGGCAGGGCCCGAGAGTCTGCATTTCCAGTGCGGCTCCGGCTTGCTGTGGCCTGCACTGTGAGTGCAGGAGTCAGCCTCTCCCTTTCCTGGGAGGGAGGTTGAGGCTAGGGACAGAGGAGGGTGTGGGGTGGGGGGAGCGGGCATTGGCCAGGCCAGGCCAGTGAGTGGCTCCCATGCTGCTGCCCCATCACCAGGGGATCCTCCAGGAAAGAGTGTGGTCCACATAAGGGGATTTTCCCCTTGGAAATTTTATTAGGATCAGATTCCAGAAGCTCTGGCCCTACAGATCCAGGCACAGAGGTGATCTTCTGCCCAGATCCTGGGTTTTGGAAGGAAACTGCATGGGACTGTGGTGAACTGTCTTATGTGAGAGTGAGTGACAGCCTTTCTGGGATGTGAGGGGTTAAACAGGCGACTGCCAGCCTCCCCCGAGCCAAAGGGGGAACTCAGGAGTAAGTAGTGACTGCCTAATTAATTCAGTTAAACTACTTTATAAGCTCCGCTGGTGTCAGTAAATTGTTAAAGTCTATTAAAAAATCAGCAGAACGTGATGAGGGTTTGGGGACGCCTTGTCTTCCTCCCCCATCGTGGGATGTGTTCAAGCAGGGACCGAGGGGTGTCAGAGGCCGGTGCCACCCCTGGCCTGCTGTGTGCGCATAGACAGATCCCAGCCTCTCGGGTCTCAGTTTCCCCCTCCGTCTGGCTTGCGCTGGACCCTGGACCGGCTTTAGGAATACCCTGGTCAGGTCAGGATAACGATGGCTAAGCCAGCCCCTGACGAGGTGATGTCTCAGTCACCAAAGTCCGGGATCCCAGAGGCTCTCAAGACCTGGCAGACCTGGGTTGGGGGTTCTCCTCACATCTTCGGGAACAAACCGCATTCCACTGGGAAGAGCCAGGGTGAGGCCGGGGTGGTGCCTAGAGGTGCCCTGGGAACCCCGGTCCTGAGGAGCTGCCTGCTCAGGAGTTTGTGACCTGCACTTGACCTTTTCGGGAGAAGATTTGCTAAGGAAAATGCTAGTGTAAACAAGATCTTCAGGGGCAGAGGCTAAGGTGTGTGAGGAGTCAGACTATTTTTAAGCCTTTGGAAAGCTCCCCCTGGAATATAAACACTATGCTAATTATAAAAACACCTTTTCTGTTCAAAACTGGTGTAAACAGGGTGGGGGGTGGGGCGGGGAGTTAAACAGAGGCGAAGCCGGAGTCTGGCCACAGCGGAGGGTTTTAGTTGCTCATTTGAAACATTCTGAGTTCCCACTTGTTGTGACGCCTGGCTGCAGTGGCAGCGGTGGACACATATTCTGAGACTCTGACCCTTTGGAGGGAGCAGCCCCCTTGTCTCTCCACTGCTGGCCCCTGCCCAGCGCCTGTGCCCCTGAAATCTGCACCCCTGACTCTTGAGAACCCCTCTCTGCTGTGTTTTCAGAACACAGCTAGGCGTCAGATGGCTCATCTCTTTGCATTTAACTGTAAAGGAAATTCTTAGCAAAGCTTTCAAAGAGAACCATTTGAACAGCCACAACCGTTATTTAACGAGCACCTTCTGTGTGTCAGGCTGTGTGCGAGGCGCTGGGACCCAGAGCTGAGCAAAACTACCTCCTGGCCTCCTGCCGCTGGGCACTGCTGGGGGCTCTTGAAGATGTTTCCTGGCACCAGCCAGGTGTCACCAGAGCTGCTGTCCTGAGCTGGACCCAGGTGGAGGTTTCCTCGACAGCAGAAGTGATCCTTGCCCTTGGTCCCTGCTCTTGTCAGACGTGGCGTGAAGGGCAGGGTGAGCTCTGGAAGGCTGGCCCTCGACTCCCTCGAAGCTCTAGGGCTGGTGACCGTGACGAGGAAGGGAGAGGTGGGGAGGGCAACAGGTGCCTGTCAGCAGAGGTGTGCGACCTTGTGGTGGTTCATACTGAGACAGGTGTGGGGAAAGAGAGGCCATCCCAGGCTCTAAGGAAGAGATGATAATTAGCTGAGGCTTTATATGCAAATGACATTTCAAAATGCTTAAAAATATCTTCTGTGGGAGGCTGAAAATAGCAGGTGGTCTATTTGGCAGGAGGCTTTGGGGAGTGGTGAGACATAGGGCTGCGAGTGGGGTGCAGGGGAGGGGGCACAGAGGTCGGGAGATGGTGGGCAGACACACACAGGCTAGGCGTCCTTGGGAGGACCCGGAAAAGCAAGTGGAGAGCTTTGCTAGCCAAGGAACTGAATGTGACCAGGCCTTAAGTCCCACGAGGACACGGTGTGTCTGTTGTGTTAGTCACTGTGACCTCAGTACCCAGGCACAGCAGGTGCTTCAGAAATATTGGTCGAGTGAAGGGACTTAGTATCTACTGCATTTATCTGTGGCACCCCTGTGAGGAGAGTTCCCTTGTGCTATCGAAGGCGGCTCCTCTCAGGGATCCTCAGAGGGGGGGAGAGTGTGTGTTTTGGAGTGAATCACAGCTACACCAGAAAGCTTTATTTTTTAATTTTTTTTTTTTTTGCAACAGTGCTGTGAAA